GGTGGCTTGGGGTCTGTAGTTTCTGCATCAGAGTGTTGCTCTTTTAAGACTTCTGGAAGCATGCTCCACACCTCATCCTTCTCAGGTTTTGGAAGGCACTTCAGAGTCTTAAACCTTGGGTTGAGTGTAGCTATCTTTAGAAATCTCACATTGGTACCTTCTTTGCATTTTGTTAAATCTTCAGTGACAGTGTTTGTAAATCAAACAACAGGTGCTGGGTCATCATCCGAGACTGCAATAGCATGAAATACAGGGCAGAATGTGGGAAAACAGAGCCGGGGACACACAATTCTCCCCCAAGGAGTGGGGTCACAAATGTAATTAACGCATAATTTTTTTAACGAACATCATCCATGGAAGCATGTCCTCTGGAATGGTGGCCGAAGCATGAAGGGGCGTACGAATGTTTAGCGTATCTGGCATGTAAATACCTTGCTACGCTGGCTACAAAAGTCCCATGCAAACGCCTGTTTTCACTTTCAGGTGACATTGTAAAGAAGAAGCGGGCAGCATTGTCTCCTGCAAATGTAAACAAACTTGTTTCTCTGAGCAGTTGGCTGCACAAGAAGTAGGACTGAGTGGACTTGTAGGCTCTAGAGTTTCACACTGTTTTGTTATGGAGTGCAGTTATGGAACCCCCCAAAAATCTATATTTGTAAGTTGCACTTTCACGATAAAGAGACTGCACTGCAGTACTTGTATGCAGTGAATTGAAAAATACTATTTCCTTTGTTTGTCACTTTTACAGTGCAAATATTTGTAATAAAAATAATAGAAAGTGAGCACTGTGCACTTCGTATTCTGTGTTGGAATAGAAATCAGTATATTTGAAAATGTAGAAAAACATCCAAAAATATTTAATACATTTCAATTGGTTTCTATTGTTTAACAGTTTGATTAATCACAATTTTTTTAATCGCAGTTAATTTTTTTGAGTTAATCATGTGAGTTAACTGCAATTAATCGACAGCCCTAATATTTACCAGTTGTTTGATTCATCACTTGTTCCAGTATTGTTCCAGGCATTGAAGTTAGGCTGACTGGTCTATAATTCCCTGGATCCTCTTTGTTCCCCTTTGTAAAGATTAGTTCTGTGTTTGCCCTTCTCTAGTCCTCTGGGACCTCTCCTGTCCTCCATGAGTTCTCAAAGATAATTGCTAACAGCTCGAAGGTTTCTTCTGCTGGTTCTTTCAATACCCTAGGATGAATTCCATCAGGTTCTGCCGATTTCAATACATCTAACTTATCTTTATATTCTTTAACCCATTCTGCCTTATGTTTCTTCCTCCTTGTTAATATTAATTGTGTTAAGTATCTGGTCATAATTTACCTTTTTAGTGAAGACTGAAGCAAAATAGTTAGTAAACACCTCTGGCATCTTGAGGTCATCCATTATTAGCTCTCTTTGCCTTTTATGTCACTTGATAGGTGTAACTCACGTTGTCCCTACATGCTTGTGCTCTTTTTTGTGTGCTCCTCCTTAGCAATTTGTCCATGTTTCCACTTTCTGTAGGATCATTTTTGATTTCCAGGTAATTCAAGAGCTCCTGATGCAGCCTTTCTGGCCTCTGACTAGTCTTCCTGTCTTTCCTTTGCATCAGGATAGTTTGTTGTTGCACCTGGTACTGTCTCTTTGAGAAACTGCCAGCTCTCTGGAATCCCTTTTTTTTTTTTTTTTAATTTTATTTTTTTATTTTCTTCCCATGGGACCTCACCTACCAGTTCTCAGAGTCTGTTAAAATGTGTTTTTGTAATCCATTGTCCTTATTCTGCTGCTCTCACACCTTCCTTAGACTCCTGAAGTCTGTCATTTCATGATCACTTTCACCCAAATTGCCTTCAACCTTCAGGTTCGCTACCAAAGCCTCCCTGTTGGTCAGGATCAAGCCTAAAATGGCGGCCCCCCTGCCTACATCCTGCATAGGGTGACCAGACAGCAAGTGTGAAAAATCGGGACGGGGGTGGGGGGTAATAGGAGTCTATATAAGAAAAAGTCCCAAATATCAGGACTGTCCCTATAAAATTGGGACATCTGGTCACCCTAAGCCTGCACCTTCCTGAAACCAGAAGTTATCACCAGGACATTCGAAGAACTTATTGGGCAGTTTGTGTTTTGCTGTATTACATTTCCAGCTGCTGTCTGGGCAGGGCAAGTGCCCCCTAACGACTAGGTCTTGTGTTTGGGATATTGCTATTTGTTCTAGAAATGCCTCACCCGCCTCCTCTTACTAATTGGGTCCCTGCTGACATCACCCCTATTTCCCCCCCTTTTATCTTCACCCAGAGCCTTTCAACTGCTCTGTCTCTCACCTCCTGGACCTCAGCACAGGGGTATATGTTCTTGGTATGTATTGCAACCCCCCTCCCTTTTCCCTGGTTTGTCCTCCTGAACAAGCTGCACCCCCTACACCAATGTCCCCATCAGGAGACTTATCCCCCCCATGTCTCAGTGATGCCAGTGAAGTCATAAACCCGCAGAGCAGTTTGCGCCAGGTGCTCTGCTGGCAGCCAGAGCAGGGACTTTCCAGTGTGGATTTTGACTAATCCTTGGGGGACTTCAGCCAGAGGAAACCTCCCGTTGTGCCGGTCCTGCTACAGGCTCACCTAAAGCGAGGTCTGTAAAATGGGAGCAATCAGATGGGTCAATTAAACTGCCACCTCTGGGAATTCCAGTCAGCTGCTTGGTACAAAGTGAGCCCCATCGCTGTCTGCCTGCGCCTCCAGCTGTCATGTGCAGGAGGCTCCAGCTGCCTGGTCGGAGGAGAGGGATCCCCTGCCCCTCCGCACTGTGCTGGGAGAGCAGTACCGGGGGACAGTGTGTGGACCCTCAGTCTGCCCAAGGTTCTGGTCAAACCCAATGAAATCCCAGCAGGGAACAGGAGAGAGGCTCCTACCCCTCCCAACACCCTCAGTGGAGCACACAGGCCTCTGCAGGATTCTTTTCTGTCTTCTTAGAAGGAGGTGGCTCTTTTAATGATTTTATTCTCCCAGCTGGCCAGGTCCCCCAAAGCCCCACTCTAGTTTAGCAGCAGAGGTCACAGGAAGTGTCATCTCCCAGCACAATCTCTCCTTAAAACACTGGCTGAGTGGTCGTGCAGCCAGGGCCTAGGCTCGTTACCTGCCAGCCATGGCTACATCTGCCCCAGTCACAGCTCTCCAACACGCCCTGCCGCACCAACTCCTGTCTAATGTGTTTGTCCTTGAAGTCTGCTGCGACTAATGCACTGGACTTTGATTTCACAGGTACCCCCCTGCACACCTCCACTCTCCCTCCCGCACCTCTGGCGGTGCCCCAGAGAGTGCTGGCTGGGGGGGAAATGAAGCACAGGCACCAGAGGTGTATCTTGTTCCCCTCTCACACCCCAAAAGGCAGAACTGCTTCTGCTGCAGTTCCCGATAGATGCAGCTGAAGGCTGAGCCCAGTTCCGGAGAATTTAAGCCCAAAGGGTCAAAGTTTGGTTCAGGGCGATGCCCCTTTTCATGGAAAGGCGACACTAATCCAAGAGCTGGAACCTGTGCAGGGCCTGGTGCTCGCTTATCTCTGTAACTTCCCCCGACACACCTGGCTCCGGCTCCAGGGCGGCTAACTTTGTGTCGCCGGTGGCGGAGAGCGGCTGTGTGCCAAGAACCTGGCTCCGAGCAGCCTGCCCCTCCCTGGCGCGGGGACGTGAGACCCTTTCCAGTCTGTGTGCTGTGTGCAGAGGATGAGCAGCTCAGTCTCCGCCACGCTGCTCGGGCCCAAGAGCCAGGCCTGGGGAAGGGGACACAGCCAAGAGGTACAGTGCACTGAATGGGACTTGCCCCAACCCAGCAGAGATCTGTAACCTTCGGGGTTGCTCTGGATCAGAGCTTGCATGCATTTGGCTACAAGAAACAGAACTGCAGCCCGAAGCTAGGCTCCAGGTCTCATTCCGGCGTGGGGGCAACCATGCTCCCCCCACTCCCATTCTACCTCCCCTCCCTCCCTCCCCCCCCCCCGGCCTGTGCGCCGCTGCATATGCCGCCCCCTCCCCTGGGAAGGGCTTCCCTTGCCCGCAGCACCTTCAACCCCCTCCTGAGCCCCTCGGGTCCTGCTCGGGCACCAGCTCCTGGGGGCCTCTCCTGCCGGGCTCTCAGGTACCCGGCTGTCCGGGAAACTCCATCTTCATCCTTAATCTCTGCAAGCCCTTCCCTGGCCCTGCAGGAGGGGAGCCTCTGGCCAGGGCAGGGCCAGCCGGGTACTGAGGCCGAGAGAATAAGTGGGGTCCCGCAGGCAGCCTGGCGGAGACAGGGACAGAACCCGGCCCGGTGCCCGGGGCACAAGCCCAGCCTGGCTGACGGGGCTGGGGGTTGCTTCACCAGGGAACGTGTCGGGCTCCCGGGCCGCTGGTTTGGACGGAGCTCTGCCCAGCGTGCCCGGGGGCCGGGCCGGCAGGAGCACGTGGAGGGCGGGCAAGGCGGCTCGCTGGGGGGTGAAGGGCGGCGCCCGGCCGTGGAGAGCCGGGCGAGAGGGGCGCCCCCGCCGGCCTCGGGGCGCCTCTCCCGGCCGGGCAGGCGGAGCCCCCGGGGGCTGCGGGCGGTGCCGGCTCAGCCGCTCCTTTAAAGGCGGCTCGGCCGGGCCGGGCCGGGCTCAGAGCGGCGCGGGAGGCGGAGGCCGGTGCAGGCGGCGGGGAGTGGCGCGTCCCGGGGAGCCCGGCGGCACGGTGAGCGAGCGAGCGAGCGGGCGGGCGGGATTGTTGGTTCCTGCGGTCCGGGTCCGGGTCCCGGCCCCGGCGGCGGGGGCTGGCCGAGGTCTCCGGAGCTGCGGACCGGGCTGCCGCACTGCAGGGTGAGAGGCGCCTCCTGCTCCCCGCAGGCTGCTCCGGGGTCCTGCCGGCCCCAGCCCGGCTCCCCTCTCCGGTCCCTGCGTTGTGCCCGTCACCGGGTACCTGGGCCACCAGCCCCCGCCCAGGTGAGGCAGCCAGCTGGAATGGGCAGCCTCCGCCAGGAAGGTGCCCGGGCCCCTCTCGGCCCCACCTCCCCAGACCCTGCTTTCCTGAGCCACGCAGAGCTCACCCCCAGGGACCCTTCAGCAGGCGGGGAGGCTGGCAGGGTGCTGCACATCCCTGGGAGGGGAGCCCTCCACCGGGCTCCCCCGAAATCCTCCTCCAGGTTCTCCTGTGTGGGGAGCTCTTCTCCCTGGTGCTCTCCCAGCCAAGAGAACTGAGCTGAGCCTGCTCCCCCCATCCCCGCTGTGGGAATGACTGCTCCAGGCCCCAGCGATGGTCTCCCACCCTGGGAGCCACTGTCCATCAGCCATGCCCAGATCTGTACAGCCCTTGGGGCAAAAGGCTGGGCACTCCAGCAGTTCTGTAGGTTGCCTGGAGTGCCCTGGGCCCATGCGAGCTAGTGCTGGGGAGATGCTCACAGGGCTCATAGACCCTTCCTTACACTGGGTTTCAGCCCCTGGTGTGCCAAGGCTGGTGGTTTGCGTAGCCCAGCTTTCTACCTGGTGCCTTGTCCTCTGAGGCCTTGCACATGACCCATAGCCAAGGGAAACACATAGGTGGACGAACAGAGAGTCCGGCTGCCTCACGACCTGCATGTTCCCTGCTTCTCACGGGACACCAGGCTGGAGAAAGCACAAGCCAATGTGCTGCAGGGACCAGTCCTGCCCTGGCCTCTAGAGCGATGGAGCTGACCGCACCTAACAGGCCTCTTCCCTCCCTCGGAAGTCCCCAGGAGCCTTGTTGCAGGGTGGGGGAGGCTCTGCGGTGGGCCGGCACAAGGCAAACTTCTAAAAAGTTTTTCTTTAATGCATTGAGAGAAACAATCTGCAGCACAGCCTGGCCAGGGCCTGCCTGCGGGGGAGGAAGGTGTGTGTTGGGAATCTGGGACAGGGTGGAACTAGAGAGAGCCTGCCCAGCCAGGGCCCATGGGAGAGCAAGTGGGGGACTAAGAGAGAACCTGCCTGGCTTGGGGGAGAGGCGCTGGGGGCAAGGTGGGTGAGAGGCCAGTGGGAGGGACTATCAGAGAGCCTTCCCCGGCTGGTGGGGGGGGCTGGGACCTGCCTGCTCCACCCATCAGGTTAGCCCCTGCCTTCTGGCACTTCACATGTGGTGCAGAAACAGGCCAGCAGGGTTGGTGGGTCCCTACCCCTCACACACAGGGATTGGCCTGACCTGGGGCGCTGGGATAGCTGTGAAATGCTATTGGCAGGAGAGGGCTTGGAGCTGGGTGGGAGGGTCAGTCATTCCTCTCTCGTAAGCCCATGGAGGCCAAGAGCAGAGACTCCTCTTAGGAGTGGGATTGCCAAGCGGACAGGGACTCCCTGTGTTTATCCCCCACAGACACCCACCGGGCCCAGGACCTCTGTAAGGGCAGCGAGCACCTGGCTGGTCTATCGGTGCCATTTGTACAAGTGAATGCCGATGGCATACAGTCTGTCCTGCTGCGGGTCAGCTGGGAGCAGGATGAAGGCATCCTTCATGCCCTTCATCGTCCTTCAGCAAACCCAGGAGCTCTGCTCCGGTGGGGCCTGGCACCCAGCAGCCTGGGTGTGCAGGCGCCTGGGGAGGAGCCTGGATATCAGCTGGAAAAGCTCCAGGTGCCATAGCCTGCATGGCTGTTGGCAGCTCTGCAGCAATCCCTCTGGCTTCCCCCCCTTGTACGCCCTCTGTTATCAGATAGCCTTGCTCACCTGTGTGACTGGGAATGAAAGGCTGTTGGTCAAGTCTCCAGCTCTTCCCCCTGGGGACGCATGGCTCTGTGCTTTCCCACCAGTGATGGGCTCCCCAGGACGAGACCACTGTCCAGGCTTTGGGGGCTCTGGTTTCCTGTAGCTTGGGAGAGTCTCCCAGTGTCTCTGGCTGCTGACATTCTTCGTCCCTCTGACACTGCTTGGTAATAAGTGCAAGTGCAAAGCCAAATGCAAGCGGGCCTGAGGCCCCAGGATATGGGGCCAAGTCCCTCCATTGCACTGGCTTTGTACTAAGCTTTGGGATTTATTCCAATAACAGTGCTCAGAAAGGAGCAAACAAACCCTCCAGGGGAGTGTGAGAGCCTGCATCCTGCCCCGCAGCCACCATTGGGTGACAGAGGGTCTCTGTGTCCCTGATGGAGACCTGGGAACCTCCCTCCTCCAGGCCGGTGTTGTGGTCAGCAGCCTTGTGGCTGAGGAGGCCGTAGCTGGTCTCATCACAAGACCCATAGTAGCAGGTGGGCTACTGCTGAGTGTAGGGAGGCTGCGCCTGAAGGACCAAAGGCAGAGCGGGGCTCTCTGGCTCCACCCGGTCCCTTGGCTGGGCCCGTCCCAGAGGAAGAGAATGTCATCTGGCTGACTGGGGAAGGCAACTCTTCCCCATTGTAGGGGGCGTGGATGGAGCAGGGTAGCTGCATTAGATCAGGAAAGGGACTGATAGCCCAGCCCCTCCTCACTAGGGATGCCAAGAGACAGACCTCTTCCTCTTCGCTGCAGGTCTGGGGAGCAATGCTGCGTGTCTGACTTGGGCATGCAGTTGCTGCGATTGCTTGTGCAAATGGCTGCCTATGCACTTTTGCACACCGTTACGCAGTCCATGTGTCATGCACCATCAAGCAGTTGCACGCTCAGCTCTCTGAAATGTTTGGCCCTGAGAGCCCAGAACCTGAAGCCTGTGTTCAAATTGTGTGGGGGTTTCCTGGCTGCTGGCATTTTACACCCTGCAGTGGGGAGCTGTTCCAAGGGCCTAACTTTGAATGGCCAGCAACAGCGCAGGACAGGTGGGCATCTGGCTGGGGTAACAGACGCAACTCTGTGCATGGGGGGCGGGGTGTGTGTGATGTGTGTTGGGAGGGGAAATAATCCTTTCCTCCTGTGTTTGAAATGCTGTGGGCCAGCCTGGTTCCGGGATACAGAACCAGTGTCAAGTCATAGTCTGGCTTTGTGAAAAGTCTTTGGACACTTCTGGGGAGAGGATGCTTTGATTTCAAGCACTAGTTCTGAGGAGACCTGAGATTGGCTGGGATTCACATGCAAAAACTGTAGGGAGAGTAGCCAACCACTCTTTCCCCTTGACAGGTCACCTGTGGCGTGGGTTGTGAAGCAGGAGAAACAGTCGCAGATACAACCAAACACTGAGTGTTACTGCATGGGTGGCTGGCTGTGAACTGCTCCTGGGTAGTTCAGAGCTGAAGGTGACTCCCACATAACCCACTAGCCTATCTCACGGGGGAGAGGGGAGTTTGGGATCCCTGCAGAGGGGTTAGCCAGCACTTCTGGCAGCTGCTAGAACAGACCCCAGCTCCTTCATTCCTGGGGAAAGTGAGCGTCCTGAGCGTTTGAACAGTGCCGCCCTGGGTGTGGCGACAGCCGTGTGCATGGCGCTTTCCAGAGTGCAGACAGAGGCTGCCACAAAGGGCTGGGCTTGCCAGCTAACCGAGGCACTGAGGGATGGCAGGCCCTTGTCTGAGACCTGGAGAGCAGGAGGGCACTAGGGGGCTGACTTGGCAATCCCCATTGGCCTGAAAGGGACTGCGAAGTCTCCAATGCACTTCAGGCTGGCCTGGGGCTCTGGACTATTGCTTCATCCTAGCTGGAGCTGGCTGGGAATGGGACCCCCTCTCCTTCTGTAGCACCCTCTTCTGGTCCTGCCTTCAGTACCCACTTGGCATGCTGCCAGAATGAAGGCCCCCTGCTTTGACAGCTGGGTGACTGGAGGAAGGGTTGCTTGGGACCCCTGGGCAGCACCTTTGCTTCTGTGATGTGAAGAGCGAGGCCTTGCTGTCCTGGACCTCAGCCTGCTCTGTGCGCTTTGTGTTGCACCCCTAACAGAGCCTCTGGTACCTTCTCTTTTGACAGATGCCAGTGAGCTTCACCACAGCCCTTCATGTTTTTGGTACCAGCCTCTTCGCCTTGGTGGTGCTGGGAGGCATTCTTGCAGCCTACATCACTGGCTACCAGTTCATCCACACCGAGAAGCACTACCTCTCCTTCGGCCTGTATGGTGCCATCCTGGGCCTTCATCTCTTCATCCAGAGCCTCTTTGCCTTCCTGGAGCACCGGCACATGCGGCTCGAGGGGCGGCCCCTGAAGCTGCACCGCTCTGTGGCGCTCTGCATCGCCGCCTACCAGGAGGACCCTGACTACCTGAAGAAATGCCTGCGCTCAGTGAAGCGCATCTCCTTCCCCGACCTCCAGGTGGTGATGGTGGTGGATGGCAATGGCCAGGATGACACCTACATGCTGGAGATCTTCAATGAGATCCTGGGCTCTGAGAAAACAGGCTGCTACGTCTGGAAGAGCAACTTCCATGACAGGGGAGAGGGCGAGACGGATAGCAGTCTCCAAGAGGGCATGGGGCACATCCAGCAGCTGGTGCGGAACAGCACCTACTCCTGCATCTTGCAGAAGTGGGGGGGGAAGCGCGAGGTGATGTACACAGCCTTCCAAGCACTCGGGGACTCCGTGGACTACATCCAGGTGGGTGGCCAGCTCCTGGGGATGGCTGGAGGGTGTAACAGCATGGGAGAGGGGTGATACTCCCACCTTGGAGGGCACGTTGCAAGGAACAGTGATCACACTGTGCTGGCTGGGCTTTCCACGCAGCTCTCACGCTAACCAGTGGGAAGCGGTTTCATTTTTCTTTGCTTTGAAATACTAAGTGAGGAGGGGTTGGGGCGGCGGAATCTGCTGCCCCAGAACAGGGACAGCACAGCCTTCGCTGTACCTTGCCTGAGCGGGAGGGAACACAAGGCTAGGCCGAGATCTGTCCCAGCTGATGCACCAGGGATTGGCTGGGTCAGGCAGACTGGAGAGCCAGAGCAAGGATGGGTTAGTGGCGAAGGCTGAGAGTTGGGATGCTGCACTCCCAGCTGACTCATGGCAGGGTCCAGTCCCGGCTCCATACTCACCTTCTCCCTATCCAGCCCAGCCTTCCTGTGGGCAGGGAGGGGACCGGATTTGTTTGAGATCCTCTAACAGGCAGTGCTAGAGCAGGGAGTCTGGGCTGGCTGATGCCCACTGTGGCTGTGTACGTAGCTGTGCTTCAGGCAGGCTGCTCAGGGCACGTGGGGGATGCAGCCGTGGCACAGTCACTGTCCTCAGTCCTGTCCCTTTCCTTTGTGCAGCCCCTGCCAGCTCAGTCGTGTCCTGCCTACTGCTGGTTCCACCTCTGCTTGGCCAGCTGTGTGCAGGGAGCCTGGGGCTCTGCTCCGTAGGGCTCCTCCAGCTTACCCAGTTATTGCCTGCTGGCGGGGCACGTGTTCCTGATCTGGACTCTCTCCAGCTCTGTTCTGTACAAAGACCTCATTCCCACAGTGATCCCCCCGCCCAGCAAGGACTGAATGACCCAGGGTTGTTAATGTGAGCCATTGGAGGGGTAACCCTGGCTCAAAAGGCTTAGTCCAATAGACAGATGCCCAGAAGTTCAGATGCTCTTGGGTTGCAGGTCTGGTCTGGAGCTCTCCCAAGAACAGGATTTGAATTTTCTCTCCCCTCCTGCTTCCTATTGGGGTCCCAGCAGCAGCTATGAGGTGTGAGCCTGTGCAACCTGCCCCGGGGGAAATACAAGCTCCTTAGGCCAGGGTTAGGGAGAAGCTAAGGGAAGGAAGAGGTGACTAGGTAACTAGGTGCCAGGTAACAACTTCCCCAACTGCCCAGGGGAATAGCACTCAACCTGGGGGAATACCATGTGTGGGACTAACCCATTTGGCTGCATCCCTTAAACTGACACCCAGTCCCAAAGTGCACCCCAAGGTCACTCAGCAGATCAGGAAAGTGAGAGCATGTGCTGGGTCAGTGAGTAGTAACTGTATTCACAGGAGCAGGAGACGCTTGGAGCCCTGCATGGGGGAGGCAGAAATTGGCTCTTTCGGGAAGGAGGGTGCTGGAGCTCTCTGTGCAAACCCTTGGGATAGCCAAGCACAGGGCAGTGCAACCCTCTCTTCCCACTGGGTTGAGAGAGTCCAAAGCAGCTGTCACACAGAGGATCCTGCCTGGGCCAGCCTGCGCTGAGTGGGCAGTGGCCAAGCAGGCAGACTGGGTCCCTCCCACTCCTGCCTTGAGACATCCTCTCCAAGAATAGGACTTGGGGAGTGCGGGGCCATCATCCCTGGGGAGGGATCGCTGCTCCTCTTTCCTGGCAGTGAGGCACTAGCAAAGGGCCACCCTGCCCTGGACGTGGTGCATTGGAGAGCCAGTGTTCATGTACTAGGTCCGTAGGGCCACAGATGTACAGACCACCTAGAAAGAGGCGGCGAGGGAGGAGACTGCAGGATGGGCAAGGCTGGAGGAGGACAGGGCTGTAACCCGGGTGGTACAGGGGAGCGGAGCTCAGGATGGTTTCCTGCTTGCCACAGAATCCTAGGTGGAAAAGCCCATCTAGCCTAGACCCTCCTTGCCAGGGCCAGGCTCTGCTCCAGGTCTTTGTCCAGTCCAGTGTTCAGTAGGCAGCAGGCCTTTCCCTTGGGAGATGATTCCACAGCCCCCATTAGGAAGCGTTCCCTGATCTCCTCATGAGTGAATCCCCCTGGCTGGCCTGTGCCCCGGCTCTCCAAAGACTCAGCTAGGTGAGACCGAACCAATCCCTCTCCTTGCTCTTCTCTGACCTCCCTTCAGTTTGTCACCCTCTTTTTGGCATTGATCCCTGCTCTGACCCCCCAGTGCCATACGGAGAGGGCCTGACTGCTGTGACCCCTCTGCATGTGTGGGGCCCTCCCTCACAGGTCAGGCCTCTGCTCATTCCTCGCTGCTCCAGGAGGGTGCAGGTGGCTCTTACCAAGGTGTTGGGCATGAGAAAACTGCGTCAGTCCATTGAGGAAGCCCTGCACAGGTGTTCGGGGACTTGGCAGGCTCCCAGGTACTTGTTCTGGGACCCATGCATTAGCCAGAATGGCTGGAGGGCGCTTTGCCCGGAGAGGAGAAAGGCCGTCTCTGTGCTCCCCTTGCCAGGCCAGCAGCCTTGCCAAGGTGCATGGCATTTCCGTGCACTGCCACAAGCAGGAACTGCTGTTCCCCGACAAGCACCGAGCAGTCCCCTGCTTGGGGACGCATGCCCCAGCCATGGCCGTTTGCTCTTTGGGCCCTGTGAGATGCTGAGCCTGCAGTAAATGCCCAGTGCCTGGACTGTGCTAGGTCTCTCTACTGATCCCCTAGCATTGCCACTTCAGCTCCTGGAAGCAGAACTACCTCACGACCTCTCCCCTCACCCCTTAGTGAGACCCTTCACCTCCGCCTCCTAGTGCACCCCTGCCCCCTAGCGGCAGACTCTGCTTCCCGGCCAAAACTTCATAGCATAGAGGCACGTCTCTCTTCCCTCCAGCCCCCTCTGTGGCACAGCCCCTGCCTGGGGCTCAGAACTAGGGCCCCAGTTGCCCCTGTGCTCTGCATGGTTCTGTGAGCCCAGAGCAAGGTGGAGAGGTGATTTGGGCAGTACCATGCTGTTCCCCTGCAGGAGCCTGTATGTTGCGTGCTCCTGAGTCGGGTTGTCTGGCTGCTGTACGCCCTGTGCAGCCTCTCAGAATGGACTCCTGGAGCAGTCCCTGTAGGCCCCAGCGTGTCCGTGGCAGGATGGGTCTCTTCCCCTAGGACTTGTTCTGCGGTGCTTTGTCTGGTCTAGTTCTAAGTGACGCAGCCTTTGCTGGATGCAGGGCTGGAGGCTGGGCTCCCCTGGCATGTGTGAAAGGGAGCAGAAGGGTTAGGCTGAGCAGACCGTGACGATTTCTCTCTGCTCGGTAGGTGTGTGACTCAGACACGGTCCTGGACCCGGCCTGCACAGTGGAGATGCTGCGCATTTTGGAGGAGGATCCGCAGGTGGGCGCAGTTGGTGGAGATGTTCAGGTACAAACCCAAGGGTTGTAGCCAATGGCACGTGAGCTGAGTGAGACTGCCCTGAAATCCCAGGGAATGCTGGGCCAACGGGGGTAGGGTGGGGGGATCACTTGGCTTCTCTGGGGTTGGGTGCCAGGCTCAAAGTGAGCCTGGCCGTGCTGCTGCTGAGTGGGTGGGGAACAAGTCCCTGTGCCAGTGCTGGGAGGGAGGGGCATATCCAGGCATGGGGATGCCAAGGCAAGAGGCTCTATAAAATCCTAGGGTAGAGGGAGCATCCTGGAGCAGCCCAGGAAGGAATGCTGCTCTGGAGGGTGGCGGCAGCTTTTGCCGTGGCTCAGAGCCAGGCAGAGCACGAGCCTGCTGGCATGTGCTTTGGCAGTGATCAGGAGGCCCACCTGGGGTGGCGGCTCTGCATGGCAGTACAGGTTCTGTCCTCACCCCGTAGGCACAACCACTGGGGAGGGGAGGGACAATGTCCCTCTGCCCCCATTGCACTGCTGCCTGCTGTGGGGCTCCTCTGTGACTGGTGTGAGGCTGGCCGGTGCCTAGTGAAAGGCAGGGAACCGCCTCCCTGAATAACTGGGCAGCAGGGCTGAGGTCCTGGAGGCACCTTCCCAAGAGCCTCATTTCTCCTTAGAACGGCCACGGTGCCTGTCTGTGTGCTGGTCTCTGCCCTGCAGGCCTGGCTGCGTGCACAGGAAAACCTGGCTACTGCTGTTGCTCTGAGAGCAAGGGCCTCTCACCTGCCCCTCTGGGCTGCTGTCCTCTTGCAGCTGGGCTCCTCTGCAATGGCAAGCCCTGGGGTGAGGGCAGACTGTGGGAGCTACTGGACGGGAGACACTGGGCTGCAGTGCAGATGCTCCTCTCCTTGCCTCGGCTGGGGAAGGAAGCCCTGCAGGGCTATTTACTAATGGTGTCTCCTTACACGTGTTGCCTTCCCAGATCCTGAACAAGTATGACTCGTGGATCTCCTTCCTGAGCAGCGTGCGGTACTGGATGGCCTTCAACGTGGAGCGGGCCTGCCAGTCCTACTTCGGCTGCGTCCAGTGCATCAGCGGCCCCCTGGGCATGTACCGCAACATCCTCCTGCAGCAGTTCCTGGAGGACTGGTACAATCAGAAGTTTCTTGGTAGCAAGTGCAGCTTTGGGGATGACCGACACCTCACCAATCGTGTCTTGAGCCTTGGGTATAGGACTAAGTACACCGCCCGCTCCAAGTGCCTGACCGAGACTCCCACCAAATACCTCCGCTGGCTCAACCAGCAGACTCGCTGGAGCAAGTCCTACTTCAGGGAGTGGCTCTACAACGCCTTATGGTTCCACAAGCACCATCTCTGGATGACCTATGAGTCCGTGGTGACTGGCTTCTTCCCCTTCTTCCTCATTGCCACGGTCATCCAGCTGTTCTACCGTGGCCGCATCTGGAATATCCTCCTCTTCCTCCTGACCGTGCAGCTGGTGGGGATCATCAAGGCCACCTACGCCTGCTTCCTCCGGGGCAATGCAGAGATGATCTTTATGTCCCTCTACTCCCTGCTCTATATGTCCAGCCTCCTGCCAGCCAAAATGTTCGCCATCGCCACCATCAACAAGTCGGGCTGGGGCACCTCCGGCCGCAAAACCATTGTGGTCAACTTCATCGGCCTCATCCCCGTTTCTGTGTGGGTCGCTGTCCTGCTGGGAGGCCTGGCCTACACAGCGTACTGCCAGGACCTCTTCAGTGAGACGGACCTGGCCTTCCTCATCTCTGGTGCCATCTTGTACGGCTGCTACTGGATGGCGCTCCTCATGCTCTACATGGCCATCATTGCCCGGCGCTGTGGGAAGCGGCAGGAGCAGAGCAGTCTAGCTTTTGCCGAGGTGTGACAGGCGGGGGGGCTCTGGATGAAGTGGGGAAAGTGCAATGGGAAAGGATTAGTGCTGCCGCCATGCATTGTTCGGGGGCAGCCAGGTGGAGGGCGGGGGAGGAGATGGGATTTTATTTGTGGGTTTTTAAATTGCTGTCCAAGGAATGAGTTCCTGGGCTAGTGAGTCTGAATGCCACCTGAGGAGAAGCTGCCTGTTGTCCAGCAGAGAACGCTCCAGGTAGCCTGGGCCACACACACCCACCCACAGGTGCGGTGACTCCAGTGTTTTGAGGCCCATTCTACTGTTGGAGGAGTGGGGAATCCCCTGAGGCAGCTTCCAGCCTCTCCAACATTTGCGATGGCTCCTGTGGAGATTCCTGTCTGCCACCTGCCAGGGCACAAAATCCTGCTGTGGGAACTGCACTGAGCTCCATTGGTGGAGAGGCCCTGGGCCAGAGGTGGAAGAGGAGGCATTGCCTGCAGACTCCAACCTGAGCAATAAGGCTCCAGGGGAGGCCTGATCCCCAGGAGCCAGTGAGGGACAGGAGTACTCGCTGAAATGAATTCATACTTTAAAAGAATCCAAGTTTGCCAACACTCCGTCCTGCCCGGTGGAGCAGGAGCTGTCTAGCTGGACTGGTGGCACAGCTGGTGACGCAGTAAGCTGGCCGCAATGCGTGCCCCTGGAGCCCGGGGACTTGGTTCCTGCCTGGGGCCCGCAAAAGAGGCCGAGAGGGGCACTGCTTAGCCAGAGCCAGGGCCTGCTCTGAGCTAGGCTCGGTCAGGTCCCTGTGCCTCTAGTGCTGGTCCATGAGCTCTGGCAGTGGAAACTGGCCCATGGGAGTCGAGGCTCACAAGGTCCGAGGCAGGCGAAGGCCACGCCCCCCCTCCTCCCCCGCCGCCGGAAGGAGTGCCCCAAAGTCTCTGCAGGCGAAGCTGTGCTTGGCAGGCCAAGAGCACCCGCCCTTGTGCTTTAGAGCCCAGACACTGGATTCCCTGGCAGTCTGGCATTCTCCCCAGGCAGGAAAGTGGTCCATAAATATTCAATTTATTTAAGAGGGCAGAAATCTCCCCCCTTCCTCGCCCTCCACTCCCCGCACAGGACTGGCTGCCTGTGGATTTAATGCTGTGAACTATGGAGTGTTCCCTGTGGCTCTCCTTTCTCTTCTGAGGCTTTGTGCCGGGGCGGGGGGGATCCTAATGCTATGGTGCTTTGCTAAGGACACCGCAGTCCTTTCCCTGATGTGGTGAAGAGAGATCTCCACCTTGACATCATGAGTTTCCAAGGCAGGGGGAAGGAACCTCCCCTGTGAGGGCCCAGATGGCAGCAGTTGGGCCACCTGAACATGACCTGGACTGGACAATTCTTTGCTGTTCTGAAGTGGCTTCCTCAGTCAGGTACCACGTCCGTTTCCCTGAGCCGCTTGAAAACTCCAATGATCTTGGCCTCCCGTAGGGATCTGCTGCGTGGCTGAGTGCTCTTCCATGGCTCCTTCTGGCCCAAAGCCCTGGGCCTGAGTGGCAGTGTGAGCTCACGGCGGGGATGGTGATATGAACGGCTGCTCCTCTGTCCCTTCTGCCCGCTGTGCCGCTGACCCCCAGGCAACTCTTCTGTCCCATTCCAGGCGTCCCAGTGGGGCTGTGCCCTGGGTCTCTGCAAGGGGGCAGTGGTGCACGCTCCACCCAGCCCACGCCCTGGCGTGTCTGCTCCTCAAAGGCTGAGGCAGCATGGCTCCAGCTTTAGCCTTTGCTGTGCTCAGAGCAACGTCCGTACGACTGATACACCAGCAGTGACCCTCCCCAGCCTGCTGCTGGGGCCCTGTGTGTGAAGTGCCACGCACAGCTCGTGTCCTACGGTGCCAAAGCCCGCGGTAGGGTCACCTGGGGCCTCTCTTGGGCTGCCTGCCTCTGCCCCCCATTCAGTGTTACTCAGCACTTACGGGTGACCCGTGGGCCAGACTGTGCCAGCAGCTGAGGGCGAAGGCAGAAAGGTGAGCGGCTGCACTAAGGTTACATGGCTGTGAGCTTTTCCCCTGGGCCCGCTGTACAAGGGGGAGCATCTTTGCAATGGAGCTAGGCCAAGGCTGGCTGCCTCGGCTGGCGATAGGAATGGGGAGGGGGCAGCATAAAGATGGAGTTAGAAGGTGCTTATTACTTAGCCTCTCAGTGCTTCCCCTCCTCCCTGCTCGCCAGGTCAGGGCTCCTGGTTGTGTTGAGGGAGGCACTAGGACCACGCAGGAGGGCCAGGTCCCCTCTCTTCCAGGCCTGGCACTCCTGCTCCATCCCCGTCACGTAAAGGTGACGTCACGTAAAGGTGAGGGAACGCCATCCTTAGGGCGGCTCAGTACGGCCCTGCCCTGCCGTCACTGCTTTCATGTGTCCGCACACAACTAGACACATGGTCTGTGCCCTGGGAGCCTGGGCACTATTCCTGGCTCTGCCACCAGTGCAGGCAAACTTGGGCAAGTCTCTTCCCCAGCTGTAAGGGGGATGGGGGTATGTGGGCACCTAGGGAGACGGGTGCTCTCCCAGGGCAGTTAATTAGGTGCTCTGTCTATTCCAGGGGTTAGCACCGTTTGGTATCTTCACTGTGGGCCCCACTGCTAAGCTAGCCTCCGCCAAGAGCCTCAGTCAGAATCCCTGCCCCCACTAGCGTCTGCCGCTGGTTGTGGTTTTAGCCCCACATCCTCTCTGGTGCCCAGCCCTGAGCTGTTGCTCTAGCACCCGTGTGAGGATAACTTGCCAGACAAAGAACCAAAGCGCTGCTCTGCGTAAGGGCATCTGTGCCCAGTACAGCTCGGTGGGAGGGGCAGCGTGGAGAGGCAAAGGGATGCTCAGGGAGGCCTGGAGCAAGCAGAGCCAGAGCAGGAATGTAGCAAGTAAAAGAGTTTGCCCCTGTTGTGCTGGCTGAGGAGCCTCATGCAGGGACTCTGCAATGCCAGGGGAGGCTGAAGTAGAAGGAAAGCAGGGCCTAGAGTTTTGGGAACAGCCACCCAGTCTGTGCAGAAGGGAGTTTGGGAGGGCCCCTTCTGCTGAAGAAACACCACAAAAGCCCCTTAACCCCCTCTCCAGCTTCCACTCTCTGGCCCCCAGTGGGTGTTGGTAGGGTTTGAGGTTTGCCCCATGGGAGAGCAGCAGCGAATTCTGCCTCCTTTGCCAAAGAACAGAAGGGCAGTGAGAGGCCACAGTCAGCAGCAGCCTGCCAAAGAATGGCTGCTGGCAGCTTCTTTGCCTACCCTCTACTCTGCCTGAGGAGTGCTCAAGTGGCTTTTTCCAGGGCCTGCAAGGGTGGCTGTAGCCAAAAAACGTATTTCACACTGTGTCCTTGTGAGCTGGATGCTGCATCAGTCCTCCAGGACAGAGCCTCTGCCATAAGGACCCCAGCCCCCAAGCCAGTTAGTACCTCTGCTGAGTAATGCAAGGTGCTGTGCTGGGCACAAAGCTGGGTGCCAACTGCCCTTGCAGGGGACCCAGCACCATGGAATAGTTTTGCATGTTGGCTCAAGTCCCTGTGCTGCTCCTGAGCCAGGTTTAGTGGGCTGGGGGTTCCCCCAGTCTCAGGAGCTGCAGGGGAGAGGTTCCAGTGCCTGGGGGAGGAGCTAGCTTCTAACCACCCCCATCGCATACAAGAGGGACAGGAGTCTGAGCTGAGAACACATCCCCTACCCTGCCCCGCATTCACGGTTGGTGTGCCACGGCAAAGCTCTTACTCTAGCTGTGGGCAGCGCATCCAGCCTGCAAGCTGCTGCTGTAGAAGCTTGTTGGCTGTATGGTTCCTTGTGCCTGAGAGGATGCTCAGCTGGGTCCCAGGGACCGTTAACGAGAGTACCTAACAAGGCACCAGCAGAGACTAACCTGCCATGGCACCAGGCTGCTAATGGCAAGGCAAATGCTGAGGGCTGGGATTCCAGCAGCTGGCCAGGCTGCTTGTCTGACACAGACCACAGGTGTGGGCAGTTACCTCAGGAAAGTGGATGCCCCCAGCTCCCAATACTGTAATCAGCAGAACACTGCTTGCTTTGAACCCCTCCTGAGCTAATCATGGCTGCTTTGCTTTTGTGTTGGGTCCAGTCAGCTCTGCTCCCAGACTTCTGTGCTTTCTTCTGAGGGAGGGCCCCTAGCGATTGTACTCTATGGGCTTCTGGAACAGGTGCCTCTCCCCGCATGTCACTACAGCCTCCCCTCATCTCAAGTGCTAGCGGGGGAGAGCCTGGCCTCCCTTGGCATAGGTGGAGGCCTGAGCAGGGACCTGGCTTTGGATCTAGACTACAGGATATGCTCCCTTCTGGGCCTGGGAGAGCAGCTTCCACCCCTGCCGCTTCCAGCAGTGTCCCCACATTCCTTGTGTGTAGCCTGGCTCCTGGCTGCACCACAGCTGTCTCCCTGGCCCTCTTTTCAGGGCAAAAACCTTACTCCAGGTGAGTGTTTGGGGGGGTTTATTTAATACAGGGTTTTTAGGAGACTTTTTTAGCTCTTTGATATTTACACTTATTGCTACCATTGTTTGTAAATCTATTTATTTTTTACTGGCATTTTTTCATTTTTTTTAAAAGGGCTGTTTTTATATCACAATGGATTTGTCACAATAAAGAGATTTGCACACAGGAAGGCTTGGGAGCGTGTCTTGGGGGGGCAGCTGCCTTCTTGGCCCTAGAAACGAGTCCCCACACGTGGCTCTAGCACCTCTGCCAGGGGCCTGACTTGGTAACTGAGAGCTGCCTATGCTCCTGCTACACAGGCTCCTGCAACTGTCCATGCAGAGCCACTTCCTCCCATATCGTTGCCCGGCAGGGGCAGAGGTCTCACCGTGGAGGCAAACATTCCCAAGGGTTTGCTCCCGTAGCTGAATACCAGCTGACCCCTGCTGCAGTAAAGAGGCTTCAGTGTCTGGAGTGGCCCTGTCCCTCCTGGCTGCGGCAGGGTTGCTGTTCCTCTCCCCACCCCGTGGCACTGGGATAACACAGACAGTGCAGGCCTACTGACCCTCCTGTCACTTTTATTCAAGGGGCAGCAAGAAGGAACACAAAACCAGAACGAAAAGTCAGTTGGCTTCTGGCTGAGCAAGAAAGGTGATGCCACCTGCTGTGTCCACCAGCAGCTGCGTGGCTGGGGTTACGCCAAGGGGCTGCTTCAGAACGGGCTACTCTGGCTCACTGATCCAGTTCTGAGCACTACTGCCAGACAGAGGAGGTGCGGGCTTCTGGACTCCCCGCTGTGCAGGCAAGGGGCCAGTGCTGGAGTTGCTGGGCCTGAGATCTGCATTCCCTGAGGAGTAGGTCACAAACACACAGTGCTCCACCACGTCTAGGAGGACGAGGGGCTGCTGGCCTATGGCCCCCTGGAGTCCAGAACCGAGCAAGGCTCTGGGAAAAGCTGAGACTGTGCTAGGTCCCAGGTTGTTGGCAAGGCAGATGTCAGGAGTATGTCTGCACTCTTGATCATCTCTCACAGACCCCGGGGCAGGAGAGAATCAGCACCACCGCAGCCTGGCTGTGTTGTTAATGGGAGATGGCAATATCCCATTAGGAAAGAGGATAGCTGGCCTAGGGCAGGGAACTGGGTTTGGCCCTAGGGGTCCAGCTGGCCTGGGGCAGGGAGTTGAGTTTGGCCCCTGGGAGCCAGCTGCTTTGGAGAAGGGGACTGGGTTCATGCTCTGGGGCTCACCCACCCTGGGGAAGGGAGTCAGGTTTACACTTTGGGGACCAGCTGTCCTGGGGAAGGGAGACCGACCTAGGGGACCAGTAGGTCTAGTGTCCAGCATGGCAGGCCCCCGTGTGATGCGAGCTGTGTTCATGCCCAGGGAGCTAGTTGTTCTTGGAACTGGAGCTGGGTTCATGCCTAGGAGGCAACCAGCCCTTGGGCTGGAAGCCAGGTTCATGGTCAAGGGTAAGCCAACTCCTGTGATGGTAGCTGGGGTTGCACTTGAGGGGCCTCCCTCCCTTGGAAAGGAGAATGGATTCATAGGTAGGGTGTCAGCTGGTCGAGTGGCGAAGAGGCCAGCTGACCTCAGCATGGGAGCCGGGCTCGGGCCCAGGGCTCCAGTCCCCCTCAGCATGGGAGCTGGGCTCGGGCCTAGGAGGCCACCTGCCCTCACGATGGGAGCTGGACTTCGGCCCAGACCTCCCGTTTCCACTGGGATGGGAGCTGGATTCGGGCCCAGGGCTCCAGTGCCCAGTGGGATGGGAGCTGGACTAGTACCAAGGAGGCCACCTGCCCTTGTGATGGGACCTAGGCTAGGGCCCAGGGCTCTGGTCACCATTGGGCCAAGAGCTGGGCTAGGGCCCAGGAGGCCACCTGCTGTAGGAATGGGACCTGCTCTGGGGCCCAGGGCGCCGGGCGCCATCGGGACAGGACCTGCTCTGGGGCCCAGGGCGCCGGGCGCCATCGGGACAGGACCTGCTCTGGGGCCCAGGGCGCCGGGCGCCATCGGGACAGGACCTGCTCTGGGGCCCAGGGCGCCGGGCGCCATCGGGACAGGACCTGCTCTGGGGCCCAGGGCGCCGGGCGCCATCGGGACAGGACCTGCTCTGGGGCCCAGGGCGCCGGGCGCCATCGGGACAGGACCTGCTCTGGGGCCCAGGGCGCCGGGCGCCATCGGGACAGGACCTGCTCTGGGGCCCAGGGCTCCAGTGCCCCTTTGGATGGAAGCCGGACTAGTGCCTAGGAGGCCACCTGCTTTAGGGATGGGAGCTGGGCTGGAGCCCAGGAGCCCACCTGCTCTTGGAAGAGTAGCTGGATTCTGGCCCATTGCACCCATGCCCCTGGGGGTGGAAGTTGGGCTAGTGCCCAGGAGGCCACCTGCCCTTGGGGTGTGAACTGGGCTTGGGCCCAGGAGGCCACCTGCCCTTGGTAGGGTAGCTGGGCTTGGGCCCATGGCACCAGTTCCCAGCAAGGTGGGAGCTGGGCTAGTGCTCAGGAGGCCACCTGCCCTTGGGAGGATAGTTGGGTTCAGGCCCAGGGCTCCCATGCCCCTTGGGATGGGAGTCGGGCTAATGCTCAAGAGGCCACCTGCCCTGGGGAAGGGAACTTGACTTGTGTCTTGAGGTCTGGTCCCCCTTACACCAGGAGCACAGTTCTGGCCCAAGGTCATGGCCCCACCTGGCATGGGAGCCGGAGTTGTACCCAAGAGGCCACCAGGCCTTGGGAGGAGAGCCTGGCTCATGTTTTGGAGTCCAACCCCTCTGGGGATGGGAGCTGGACTTATGCCCAGGAGTCCGGATGCTCTAGGGAAGGGAGCTGAGTTTGCCCCCATGGGCCCAGCCCCCTGCCCTCGGGACAGAAGATGGGCTCGTGTCCAGGGGGCAGGACGCTCTCTGGTATGGGGCCGGGGCTCTTTCATACTTTTTTGGGCACGCTGGTAATGATGGGCTTGGGGCGGGTTTTGAAGAGGAGCTTGGTCTTGATCAGAGCGGTCACCAGATAGTGGGCAGCTGCCCCCGTGGGGCCGTGGTCACAGCCGTGCTCGCTGCCACCACGTTTGGTGAGGACGGCGAAGGGCTTCTCCAGGCGCACTACCTTCCCATAAAGAATGTGATGGCCCACGATGAGCACAGGGACCCCCTTGGGAAAGAAGAGATAACAGGCACAGGGTGAGAACCCTGCAGGGACCTGGCTCCTTACCCCTTCCACGAGAAGATGGACATCAGAACCAGGTGCAGCCTTTGTGGGAGTTGACTTGGCAGAGGACTCCCTGCAGCTGCTCTCCCAAGCCTGTAGGGAAAGCTCCCTCACCTCTCTGGTGTAATGCAGGTCTCCCAGGAGGTTTCCAGCCAGTCCGGTGCTGTAGCGAGCCTCAATCTCTCCCTGCAGCTCCATCAGCACCCACTCTGCCAGGCCATCAGCCCCATCACTGAAAGCAAAGGGCTGGGGGTTACAATGTCCTAAGGGTCAAAGGGCCAGGAGGAGGATGTCCAGACAGAGGCTCCACTACAGAAAAATGTGGCAAGCCTGCAAGCTAGGTCCACTAGCTCTCTGGTTGCTGCGCAATACCTGGGTTTAGACACTGACCTAGCGCCTTGCTGAAGCGTGTTCAGACCCCAGTGAGACACAAGAAACTGACAACTCCTCACACTAGCACAGGAAGGAGTCATGCCAAACTCACCTGGAAATCACAATCTGCACCATGCTCCGCTTCTCCTCTGCAAAGCGAAGGAGACACAGATTCATCAGCAAATGGGACTGAGGGACCAGGCACCTGGTCTGAACCTCCTAGGCCACTAGTGTCTCACTAGATGAGAAGTGACCACCCAGCTGTACCTGGGGAGGGGAGGAGCCCACTCTCTCCTCACCGCCAAGTCTCACTGTTTGAACCACTTATGGAACAGTCCCCAAGAGACCCTTTGACACAGAGGCTCCCTTGGTGCCCTGATGGGTTGAGCAGCGATTAGTTTGTATTTTACTGCCACCTATTGGCAAACTCAGACAATGTTCCTTTACAGCTACAATGGGTGATGTGTTATTGTTGTGCTCCCCAAAACAGCCAGAGGGAGCCTCCCAGGAGCAGGGAGAGTCATCAAGAACATGGCCTAATGACCTGACTGCAACATTAGCAGGGGGCTGGCACATACCTGATCCTTGAGGTTACACTCCAAGCTACAATATGTTTGTTTGATTGCGACAAACAGCTGAAGAGGCTGGACTACCAGATGGCAAATCCCGTCTGTTGTTGCCAATGAAAATGATCTTGGAACACAAGATCATTTTCATTGGCAACAACAGACGGGATTTGAACACAAGGGCAGACTAGTGACTAACGCGTGGCTCCAGCAGCCCTCTCAATTACACAACACCACACTGTCTCAAAGCCAGTTTGCTTGGATGGTTGATGTCACGTCAGCAAAGTGCTTAGAAGAGGCAATCTTTAAGTACCTTCTGGATCAGCAAGATTGTGTAGTTCCCTTGGCTGTAAATAGTTTGATGCCTGTCTTTTACTTCATTATCGTTAGTATGGTGGGCCCTGGATCCCAACACCCCAGAAGCAGAGCTCAACCAGCCCAGGTCCCACTGCCAACCAGCCCAGACTGTGAAAATTCCCCTGTAAAGCTAGAATTAAACATTATCTTATTATCTATAATTTACTAATTCAGGCAGCCTGAAGTGTGTGATGTGAACTCCCCCAGACTATTCAGCAGTGAAAGCTAGGTCCATGGGAGTTTGCAGGGGAAAGAAATTTGCACTAATATCTCAGACTTCCAAGTATTAATCTCTACAGAGGCTAATTCATCGTTTCTTGAAGATTTATTTATTAGGTTAACTCATAACAATAAAAGACTCTTGCAAATTAAAACTGGAAAAGCTCCTTTTGCTCCAACTGAGTCCATCTCCCAAGGGCCGTAGCAGAGCTACTCCAGGCAGGACGTTTTCTCGTGCTTTGTCTGACCTAATTTAAAGTTTCCCAAATGATGAGGTTTCTGCCCCTTCCTTGGGAGTCTTCCACAGCCATATACATCTCACTGTCACTAGCTCTTTCCTTACATTCAACCTAAATTCCCCCTTGCTTAATTTCATCCTATTCCTCCTATGTACATCCGCTTTACTTTCCTATGCAATTTCTATCCCTCCTTGGTGTTTACACTGTTTAGTTATGTGAAGATTTATGTCCCTCACCTTTATTGTCACATAGCGAAGTTAGTTCTTACATTCTTTCCTCAGAAATTAATCCCTCCAGCCACTTAATTACTTGTAATTTGTTAATATCTTTTTGACAATTTGGTGTCCAAAATTGAATGGAACATTCCAGGTGTGCTTGCATCAGAGTTGTGTAGAAAGGGGCTATTTTAAAATGATTATTAAAAAATTAAACAGATCTTATAGTACTTTCCATCCTGAATCATTCCAGCCTGCATTACAAATTTTAATTTTTACACAGTGGAATCACAACACAGGCCACTGCAACACAGCCACCTCTTTGGTGGAACACATAGCTGTTTGACTCAATTAGTGGAAATCTTCACTTTCTAAAATGTAACTTACTTTCACAGAATATCCTTATTCCCAAGAAAGGGAGTTCCGTTACTAATAATCCTCCTTTCCTCTGCCTCTTGTTGGCATTTGCTACAGCCAGACGTGAAACTCCTGCATAGAAACACTCCCTGTTTGCAATTGCTCATGAAATATCAGACTCCCAAACCCTCTCATGACCCGCCTCCTATTTAATGCTCCAGTACAGGCATTCTAATCAGGAGCCAACTGTCTCTGCAATGAAACTAAGGTTGTGTGGGGAAATGATACTTCCTGTGGGGACCGTACAAAAAATGGATGTGCCCCATAAAACTCAATCAGTAGTGTTATTGGGTCCAAGCAGTGTGCTGGGTGCGCTACAGGCTGCTGTCCTGAGGCGTACACAGGCTCAGTGTGACACAGGATAAGGGAGAGCTTTAGACCTCCGTCTGGGAATGGTGGCCATAGGCTGCGCAGAAATTCTCTTCATGCCACACCCCGGTGAGGTTCTACCCAGCTGTACCCTCATGCCTCTGCTCTCCTTCCTGCAGTGTTGCTCAGCCCCCTGCCCCAGCTCCCCTAGCCCTTCCCCCACCACCCTCCCCCATCTTTCCTCAGAGCCCCTCTCTCCATCTCATCCTTCCCCAGAGCCCCTCCCCAGCCCTTCCCTAGAGCCCCTTCCCCCCATCTCCCTAGGGCCCCTCTCCCCACCTCATCCTTCCCGCCTATCCTTCCCCAGAGCCGCTTCACTAGCCCCTCCCCCACCATTTCCCCATAACCCCTCCCCCAGCCCTTCCCCAGAGCCCCTTCACTAGCCCCTCCCTCCCCATCTCCCTAGAGCCCCTCCCCCCCACCTCATCCTTCCCGCCTATCCTTCCCCAGAGCCCCTCCCCCCAGCCCCTCTCCCCCCATCTCCCTAGGGCCCCTCTCCCCACCTCATCCTTCCCGCCTATCCTTCCCCAGAGCCCCTCCCCCAGCCCCTCTCCCCCACCATTTCCCCATAACCCCTCCCCCAGCCCCCCTCTCCCCCCATCTCCCTAGGGCCCCTCCCCCCACCTCATCCTTCCCTAGAGCCCCTCCCCCACCTCATCCTTCCCCAGCGCCCCTCCCCCAGCGCCCCTCCCCCAGCCCTTCCCCAGAGCCCCTCCCCCAGCCCCTCTCCCCCCATCTCCCTAGGGCCCCTCCCCCCCACCTCATCCTTCCCGCCTATCCTTCCCCAGAGCCCCTCCCCCAGCCCCTCTCCCCCATCTCCCTAGGGCCCCTCCCCCCCACCTCATCCTTCCCTAGAGCCCCTCCCCCACCTCATCCTTCCCCAGCGCCCCTCCCCCCAGCGCCCCTCCCCCAGCCCTTCCCCAGAGCCCCTCCCCCAGCCCCTCTCCCCCATCTCCCTAGGGCCCCTCCCCCCACCTCATCCTTCCCCAGAGCCCCTCCCCCAGCCCTTCCCTAGAGCCCCTTCCCCCCATCTCCCTAGGGCCCCTCTCCCCACCTCATCCTTCCCGCCTATCCTTCCCCAGAGCCCCTTCCCCAGAGCCCCTCCCCCAGCCCCTCCCCCCACCCGTTCAGTACCCGCGCCCTCCATCACCCCTGTACCCCCGCCCCTCGCCCAGGGTCCCTCGTCCCGACCTGCAGGAGGGGCCGTCGACGCAGCAGGCCCTGGCGAGGGAGCAGGGGCTGCCTGGTCTCCCGGCAACAACCGAACCTCCCGCCGCTGCGCACTTCCGCCCGGCCGGACGCTTCCCGTCGCTTCCGGTTCCGGGGCGCGCACGTGGGGAGGAGCTGGAGGAGGCGGGGCGCGCCGGAGCCGGAGCCGCGGGTGAGGGGCCGGGAGAACCCGCTCCTTCCCGCGCGGGGCGAGAGCCGGGCCGGGAGGGGACCGGCGGGGGGGCAGACCGGGGGCCGGGTCGGGGCCGGGGGGGGACCAGCGGGGGGGCAGGACGGGGGCCGGGTCGGGGCCGGGGGGGGACCAGCGGGGGGGCAGACCGGGGGCCGGGGCAGGACGGGGGGGACCAGCGGGGGGGGCAGACCGGGGGCCGGGGCAGGACGGGGGGGACCAGCGGGGGGGCGGGCCGGGGCAGGACGGGGGGCAGGTCAGGACGGGGCGGGGACCAGCGGGTGGGGGCAGACCAGGGGTGGGTCAGGACGGGGCGAGGGGACCGACGGGGGGGTCACAAGGGGAGGAGGAGCCGGAGCTGGGACCTGCCCTGACCCCCTGCCCACCTCTTCGCAGGGGCGGGATGGGGGAGTTCCAGGTGCACCGGGTGCGGTTCTTCGCCTACGTGCCCGCGGGGATCCGCTGCGTGGCCCACAGCACCCGCTCCGCCCGCCTCGCCCTGGCCCGCACGAACGGCGCCCTCGAGGTCTACAACTTCGCTGCGAACTACTTCCAGGAAAAGGTAACGG